AGGAATGCCTTATTTCTGTTTCCACATACACATTGTTTGATCACAAAAACTCTTAAGCTTCACGTAAATTACCTTATTCCAAACTGAAAATCTATCTTCATCAAATTATAGCAACATATACACAGAGTTCTAACCACTAGTCCAAACCTTAGTGCTTTGTACAGAGTCATCCCAGCTCCTGGCTTGGAAAAGAATAAAATCTTTATTTTAAGGAGGAGGAAAATAACTATATTTCGGATGGATTTGAAATGTGTAGTCAAAGCAGCAGTGCAGCAGACAGGGGATTTAGAATTCGCAGCTTTGCTCACAACATAACTTCCAAAATGAAAAGTGCAGATGAGTTGGAAATTGCTGTGGCCATTGTTCATGCCAAGTGTACAGCTGCCTTACTCTGTCTGTGGTGGTAACATCTGAATATCGGGAAGGATTAGTGCAGAAGATGATGAATTTGATAATTCAGCCTGCTGTGTAATGAATCTTGAGTTGGGAGAAGTATTTGCTGTGCTGCAAAGGTAAAATAGATAAATCACTTGTAAGACGTTGACATTCATTCATGCACCTGGGAAAGTAATACTAATTAACGGCCTCTAATATTGTCTACAGTCATTCACTTTCAAAATGCGTTAATTGTCTTCCTAATCAGTATTGCTATTCTAACTTTTCTATTGTCCTATTAAAACCCATTACATCTTTCCTTAAGAAAATCTAAAATCCAGCTCCTCCTGTAGCAAAAGCAGGTTTTATTGTCAAGCTTACCTGCTCCCTGAAGAGTGGCAGGAGTATCCCTGTGCTTTCTCCAGACCTGTTCTAGGCACCTGTATCGTGTTTTCATTTGTGTGCAAGCTTCTTTTCTGATTATCTGTATTTCCAACAGCAGTTTTTAAACAGATGTTTTTAAATAATTGTACTAGAACTACAAATCTTGTATCTGCCTTTTGAGTTACTGAAATGCCTTTTTAGATCAAGCTGCAGATGCTGACTGATCATGATGTACCTGCCTCACCGCACTGCTGTTACTGCTTTCCACTCACCTGTTTATCCTTTTTATTTCAACATTCACTATAAAAAATTAAGCTAAAGAACGTCTTCTATATTATACAAAAGTATAAGTATAAAGTATCTCATAATAAATTTCTTTAGATGCTATTAAAATACAATTTTATAGTCAACCCTTTGTCTTCTCTTATTTAAAATTGTTTCCCGCCTAGAAGGCACTGCAGGCTAGATTCTCAAAGCTATTAGATACTCTCAAGTCCAAAAATTATGTTAAAATAGTTTAACCACCTTTGAGAAGTGGGCCCTATGACTTCAACTTCTGGGTTTTTTTTTCCCTGTCTGTGCAAAAAAACCAGCTACAACTCATTTCTACTCCTGTGTCTGGAAGTGGCAGTCTGCCTCTCCAAAGGAGGTGTCTCGTCTGTCCGTATAAATCCCTCCTGGGCTCCTGCTATGAACTTTATATGGTCATTTGATGTCGTGAGTATTACATCTTAAGTTTTGTGTGCTTGACTGCCTCATGTCTGACATGATGCTTCATGATGGCACGCCAGAACCCCTCCCTGCTTATTCCTCCAGTGTAAGTTGATAATGCTTGCCTTGGAGTGTTATAATTAGGTATACAGTTGCATCTGAAAATCAGGCATATGAATCTTCATCCTGGTCCATTCTCTTTATGTGATTCTATACTGAATGCAAAATCAGCTTCATAGGTTTTGCCTTTTAATCAAAAATTGCTGTGCTAGCTGAAAATGTGTCTCCTTGTATGATCATGGCCTTTCACAAGAGAATCCTCCAAAAATAATAAAGCTGCTTATCAATAAGAGGAGGCTTTAAGGGGGCATAAGATCTCTCTTTTTTTTTTTTCCTTTCCCATGAGAGCTGAGTCTAAATGCCTGCTGCTAAAAGATCAGCATGACCAGAAATTTCAAAATAAAAAATTCCTCTCTTGTCACACATACATTTATTTGTGTCTAGACACTCTAATATAGATCTTTAGACAAACCAAAGTATTCTAAAGTGGAAGGGATGACAGCGAGACAATTGCATCCATTTATATATAACGAGGACTGAGGAGATGTTAGCTAGTGTGGCATAATTTAGCGTCTTTTACCCAATTTTCCCTTCTTCTTCAGTATCATCAGGACCTGGAACTGAAGTAGCCAAAACTCTGGTGCATTTCCTGTGAGGAAGACACAAGAGCAAAGTAATCCTCATCTAACGGTCATTTTTGCTCAGCCAGGTTTCTAATCCCACACCAAATTTGTTTTCTAAAACAAAGAGCAAGCAAGAAATGCCAGGGCACCTCAGCTATTGCAGTACACACTCCAAAATCAGCACTACGAATCAAACCTGAGTTCAGTTCACTGTGAAATTCCATACTTTGTGGCAAAATCATTACAATTAAAGGGGAATGAGGAGAAACAAATAAAAACATTTTTTTAAAAAAACTGGGTTTAATCATAAGTCAATTTAAAATGAAGTGTTTGTATTCCATTCCTCAAGCTTTCACACTCTACAGCTTTATGTGTGCTTTTGTACGTTGGCAAATACCGATAAAAGGAGTTAAATCCATGTATAATTTGGAACCATAAAAGCTGATGGATGTATCATTTAATTATACATTACTTACTTCCACTGTAATAACTCTTAACAAAATTTGCTAAAATTCTATTCCTGTAACTTTTGCTCACAAAATTTAATTTTTAAAAAATGCAATAAGGTCTCTTAACACAGAGAAGGTGATGTTCTACCCTAAGCATTAGGTCTCCCCAAACTACATTAAAAATCATAGCATTTTAGATTTCTCTTTGGGCCCTCTTATATCCCAGTTCACAGCTTATAATATATTTAATGCTGTTTGAACTTTGAATTTCCAGTGTAAGCTATATTTTAGGTGTCTCTAAAGTCATGATCCCAAGTTTCTTATGCAGACAGCAATAAGCCATAGGGTAAGTACACTTTTAATAATCTGGCTATGGATATTTGTACTTTTCAATACTGGGCAGATTGCTTTATGATGCTCTTATTAAAAGGAAATATATGTGGGGAGTGCTACTGTCACAGTATGTTATTTACTTGTTTGGTAAAGAGGGATAGGGATTCCTTAATGACTGAACAAAATTAATCCCACTGCACTGAGCAAAGTTAATTCTCTGCCTTCCTCAGCACTACCAAAATTTACCTCCACTTGCTTTTCTTTTGATACTACACACTGAGATCTAATAGTATGGTCTGGTGCGTGCCCAAAACTAGTATATGGCATATCAACTTTTTTAAAAGGTTAAATCGCCTTTTTCAAAAGGTGAAAGTATCTCACACCAAGCCACACAGTTAGCTAGATTCTTACGTTAGATTCAGAGTTTCTTGGAATCCCCTGACCTGGAGTTATCAGCCCAGCTCCTGTAACAGGGAAAGCTCAGCGTTCACCTGCTGAAGAAACAGAGTATTACCATGGATTCGTGCCATTCATCTTGGCAAAAAGCAATCGCAGAACACGTTCTTTTTGTTCCCATGTCAGCTCACTGATATCCACTTTTTCAAACTGGATTTTCTCCCTGAAAAACACAGAAAAGATCAATGTATTAGAAGAAAATGTCAAAGGCATATCTCTCATGAATTCTGTATGTGTAAAACAGGTTTTAAGTTCTAGCTCTGCATTGCTCTTGTTCAGCTATTCACAGCATGTAAATCCAAAAAATAAATCTGTGCTGTCTTTTCAACTTGTAAATTTTGGGCTCTCTAAACTAAGTAGAACAAACCAAATGATTTTTGTTACACATGTAGTGGTTATAAATTCTGGGAGGGGGAGGGTTAGTACTAACGTATTAGTTTCAAGTACATTGTCCTTCCCTTGCTTCTCCTGTTCATACATGAAAGAGTTAGTACGTATAACTAATTTTCATTCTCAGTTCCAGTCTCTCCCTTCTCTTGCTCCAAGGAGAAGCTTCCTTAGATTTCTATAATGACTTTCACCCCTGATTTTTTATGCAGTGTTTCTGCTGTATCATTTTTGAGATAAGATAACCTTAACTGAACAAAGCATTCCAACTGATCATGTGCCGCCAAGTTAGTCAATAGCTAAGGAGTAAGAAGCAAACATTTTATTTGGGAGTAGGATAATTTTGATCTCTCACCAAGGATGCATGCACACCTCAGATATGGAGGACCTTAACTCTACAGCTTAAAATCTAAGTGCCTGGACACTGCTGCAGTTTGTAGGCACAGATTTCTAACAGGAGGTTGGAGACCTGTAATACTGGTCACTGCAGCATATGTAGCCCTAATTTAAACTAAGCTGCATCCTAATACAAATTCTGAGATATTCACACTTATAAATCTGAGATTTTGTTTTATTGTCTATAAAATGTAATCCTGTCAATCAGTACTGTACTCTGTGTGTACTTAGTTTTGATATGTCAGTGTGTATTTCATGTAATGGCTTAATTTTTAGATTATTATGAAGCCTGAAGAAAACAGCCTTTGAAAACACAATGCAAAGCGGGGACTTCTGACATATGGATGAAGAGTTGAAAAAAGACTGGATTTACCATCTACTGGATGTTTCTGTTAAAATGATCAGCAACCTAATAAAAAGCTGTCAGCATCTTAATTGTAATTTTTAGGCTTCAGTGTTGTTAGTTCACTGGAGTGAGTAAAAAGCAAAAGAGCGATGCCATAAGACCCAAAAAGATTAGAGAAGCAACAATAATTATTAAAAGGAAACTGCAGAAGCACATCTATACTGGAAGTTCTATGTCAAATTCCACAGCACATGGCAGAATATTCAAAGAACTTCTTTGAGGTTATCTTCAATTTAATCCATAGAAATAATGACCAAAAAGTGATAGCCTAGTTGAAATTAGGTGCCCACAAAGTCGTTACTGATTGATAGGATATTACATCTCATACTGTTACTCTCACTACAGAAGCCTCCACAAGCATCCCAAATCTAGGCAATATTATCACACAAAGCGTTTTTTCAGGTGTGCTAGGAAGATAGACACTAGGTTTTGTTATCTCAGTACCAGTAGCATTTCTCTGCTTCCTCTAGGTCTCTGTACACACTATTTGTGCTATTTATGTTGCTTTTGAATGTTTTGATTTTGGGAAATTCTGCCCTCCCTGCACATGCCTCCATCATTTTTCTGTAATAGGCAATTTGGGCTTTTTTCTTATAGTGCTTTCTACTGGATATGATCTCCTGCTTCACATGTTCCAGAGCATCTAGGAAGAACCTTTCCACCTCAGTCCTCTCATTTAAGATATTCCGGGCTAGTTTCTTCACTCGGTTCATCTCCCGATCCTTCATTTCTAGTAGTTGCTGCAGTTTCTTCATCTCCACCAAGCTTGCCTGGTTTTCTATCAGTGCCTGATGCTGTTTTTTCTGCACAGATTCTCTGGTCATGCGACGTAAGGCCATCTCCAGCTCTTCCACTTTACACTGCAGCTCTCCAATCTGTGCTTTCTGGCAATTGATCTGCAGGATCTTTTTTCGAATTAAACCCTCACTGGTTTCCTAAAAGATGAGAAGAAATTATTTGGGCTTTTATTTCATTTGCAGCAAATCCGGAGAGAGTTTTTTTCCCCCTAACACTGGCAATATTGTAAACATGCTGGTACTTCCCTACTGGAGAGCGAATACTTCTCTGGGATCAGGTTATTGTTTAAAAGAGAAGCGAGGTAAGGAAGACTTGGTATGTAGTATACACTCCAGAGACCTATTCTTAATGGGCTAGTATAGGAAACCCTTCCTTCTTTCTCCTTAATTAAGATAGAATAAGAGCTCTTCTTCAGACAACTTGGAATTTAGTAACTCTGGAGGCATCTGACTGGGGGGAGGTTAGTTTCAGTAACTAATTCCCTTCCTGGAAGAGAATGAAACAGAATTAAAAACAGAGCAGAAACCTTCTCCTGTAAGAGAAGAGTTTTGTCCTCTTCTAACTTCTGTTTGATTTTCTGCAATTTCATTGTTTCAGTTGGTAAGCAAATGCATCGTGAAGACGAACATTCTCCATAAATACTTCTCTCCCAGTGCTGTTCAGCTGCCTGGACAGAGGGAAAAAATACCCAAGAGCTTGAATCACAACCTCTCTTGTTTGTTTGTTTTAAATAGTAAAATCAATATTCCAGTGTCCTAATTTCAGAGATAAGCTGTAAAATTCTTACAGGTCTGTACCAAGTTTTCACAGCTTTGCTTCTAGTCCTACATCTGGTCTGGGAGAATGAAGAAAAAAGCAGTGCTGTTGTGATAATATTACCTCCAGTTCTCCCCTGGAACCAGCATGAGTCTTACAGTTTAAATGTAAGTGCTGACATCATCTTGACATTTGAAATATAAAAAAAGCCTAGGCCATCACTGATTTTGCCCTTCAAAGCCCATGTAGTAACATGGGCAACTTGTTATTTAGAACACGGTGCTAAAATGGTTTTGTAAAGTAGAAAACAAGAAAAGCAAGTGTTTCTTACAAAACAGCCTCACGCTGGGTGGTCTCTGTCATCATTTTTTGCTTTTTCTCAACATCTTCTTCTAGTCTTTTCTGAAAGGGAGAAAAGCCTGTTTAAATTTTGCATGAGACCTGTGGCACCAAAGCTAAAATCTGACACACTGTAAATTCTAAAATCACATCCACAGTTTTCAGCTCACCCAACTTCTTGCTAGAGAAAGAATGAACGCCTGAGGGTACTGAAGTTCCTTATGGAAGTGGAGAATACGGCCTCTCTGGGATCCTGACATCTCATGTTTTTCCTTGGAAAGTGTAGCTAGCCTCCAACTCATTCATCGTACTTGTATTGACACAGGAAATTTACACTTTGTAAAGTGCTCAGTAAAGAACTGTGAGAACTATATAAACCAGAGTAGTGAATGGGAGAAATCACTTTGTTCTGTTAAAAGTTTCTTTAACTGCCTGTCAGTCTTTACCTTTTCTTCAGGAAACCTCTTCTCCAATCTCACAATCATTTCCTGATGTCTCCTGTTTGAAATCTCCATACTCTCTTTTAACTATGATTTAAAAAAAAAAAAAAAACAAAACCCCAACTCTTTAACAATCGTGGTTTGTTTCAGCCATATAACTAAAAGTGTGAATGTACTCTTTAAGAAGGAATTTGGTAGCCTTTCCTGGCACTACCCACAGCCTTCATTAAATTTTTACACAATCTATAAAATTCACTTAACCTTCTGACTTGTATTATTGCTTTGCTTCCCCATCATAGTTCACCTGTGCCCATATTTTTGTATCACTGACAGTCATTCACACACACCGTGTTGTGGTTTAACTCCAGCCAGCAGCTAAGCCACACGCAGCAGCTCAGTTACTCCCTGCCCCTGGTGGGATGGGGGAGAGGATTGGAAGAGTGCAAGTGAGAATACTTGTGGGTTAAGAGAAAAACAGTTTAATAGGTAAAGCAAAACCATGCACAGAAGCAAAACAAGGAATTCATTCGCCGCTTCCCAGGAAAGCAGGGTTCCATCATGCTAACAGTTACTTGGGAAGACAAATGCCATCACTCTGAACATCCCCCACCCCTTCCTTCTTCTTCCCCCAGCTTTATATGCTGACTGTGATCTCATATGGTATGGAATATCCCTTTGGTCAGCTGGGGTCAGCTGTCCCGGTTGTGTCCCCTCCCAGCTTCTTGTGCACCCCTAGCCTACTGCTGATGGGTGGTGTGAGAGGCAGAAAAGGCCTTCACTCTGTGTAAGCTCTGCTCAGCAATAATGAAAACATCCCTGTGTTATCAACACCATTTTCAGCACAAATCCAAAACACAGCCCCATTGTGTCAGGTTTGCGTGGCAAGGTTTTGGTACCGGGGGGG